GCAAGTTCCTGGATAACCAGGGCTCCGTAGTAAAACCCTCTCTCAAAATAATAATTTTAGAGCTTTTTTCCTACCTCTAACTCCGTAACCACCTTAGAAATCTGATATAAGAAGTAGAATTATTCTCTCTCATTTGTAGCTAAGGAAACAAACAAACATTGAAGCACTGAGTGATGATTTCGCCCTGGGGTCCTTCAGCTACTCCTCCAGCTGTCACCAACACCTGCCTAGTTTCCTACAGTCACAACACAGCCTCCGAGGAAGCACAGAGGGAACCAGCAAAGAGACTAATGAAGTTAAGAGTTCATGAGACTCAGAAGCTCTTATAAGCTAGGGATGACTTAAGGAAACATTTTGAATATTTACAAGTAAACCTACATAATTTAGGCTTTCCTTTCTTAGCTTTCAAGGTTCATTTGATACAATATCTGCTAAAGCAGTTTCAATGGCTGTAAACTGTAAGGAGCAAAGCACCAGTCTTAAAGACACTTGAAGGATGAATGGGGACATAGAGAATCAAAACTACAACTGGCTTTGGAAATGACTCCTTGAAGAGTACGGAATTAATAAGATAGTGTTGAGCATATCATCTCAAAATGAAAATAATCATTTTTTTTCCTTTTGGGCTAAATAACAGAACAAAACAACAAAAAAAGAACTGATCAGTTACAAGGAGGGTTCAGCAGCACCTTCAACAAATCTTCATTCTCAGCCAGACATTGGTAGTGCACACCTTTAATCCCAGCATTTGGGAGGCAGAGGCAGGCGGATCTCTGTGAGTTCCAGGCCAGCCTGGTCTACAAGAGCTAGTTCCAGGACAGACTCCAAAGCCACAGAGAAACTCTGTCTTAAAAAACAAAACAAAATAAACAAAATCTTCATTCTCCTAGAAACAGTGTGTTTAGACATTTCTAGGAGTAGCAAGGAAGTGACCAGTCAGCTGCTTGCTTGTCTTCACATCTGGAATTCAGGCTAGTGCTCTGCTGTTCCAGAGTGAATGAGGCGCAGCGGAGGTTATTTTGGCAAAACAACAAGAGCTAAAAGATCCAGTAGTTCCAGGAAGGGGCAATTCTATTGAGATCTGAGAAATGATCCCTCCCAAGGTTCTTCATCGTCAGGGCCCTGGAGCACTTTGCACAAGATTGTTCATGATAAAAAGCGGTATAGCCGTTAGGAAGGCCTAATCGTAAGTGTGTGCTGTAAAGATACATGCACCTATGACCTCATCTGACTCCCATAATGCAGACAGGTGAGCTGTAACTCAGAGCTGAGATCTCCCCAAGGTCAACAGACCCTGAAATAGTAGTCTGCAGTGCAAATTGCAGCCCTAAAAACACCTATTTCTTCTCTGTCCTTCAGTAGCCCTGTGTGGTTGTCTCTTTTTTCCCTTGTTGGTTATGAAAACAACAGCAAGAAAATGACTGATTAAATGTTTTGATTGTTATTTAAAGTTCATTTTCTTGACTAAGTGAGCATCGAACTAAATATTAGAAGTGATGCCTTTGCTTTCATTTACCTTTCCAACGTTAACTTTATTAGATGGCCTAAGAATACCACACATTGTTCACAGGGAGAAAAAATGGCCAAGCACAGCTTGCCTTTCCCTACACATCCCACACGAATGTTTTATTCCTATGTTTATCTTTTTTAATGTGTGTGTTCTGCCACCATGTATGTGTGTCTGTGCACCATGTCTACAGAGGCCTGAAGATGTCAGATGCCCTGGAACAGAAGATTGTGAACCGCCTTGTGGGTGCTGGGAATCGAACCCTTATCCTCTGGAAGAACAGCCAGTGCTCTTAACCACATAGCCATTTCTCCAACCTACTGTAAATTTAGGGGGGGGGGATATGGTGCAAAGGGGCTCTTTTAGAATGGAGAATCTCACCAGGCGTTGGTGGCGCACGCCTTTAATCCCAGCACTCAGGAGGCAGAGGCAGGCAGATCTCTGTGAGTTCGAGGTCAGCCTGGTCTCCAGAGTGAGTGCCAGGATAGGCTCCAAAGCTACACAGAGAAACCCAAAAAAAAAAAAAAAAAAAAAAAAAAAAAAAAAAAAAAAAAAAAAAAATAAAGAAAGAAAAAGAAGAAGAATCTCTACTCCAGATCCGTTTTCTTTTGTTGTTGTTTCGTTGGTTTTTTCAAGACAAGGTTTCACTGTATAACAACCTTAGCTGTCCTGGAACTTGCTCTGTAGACGAGGCTGCCCTCGAACTCAGAGCCTGCCTCAGCCTCTCCAGTGCTGGGATTAAAGACCTGAGCCAACACAGCCCTGCCGAATTTGTTTTCTTAAAGTCAACAGATTCAAGAATCTCCCGCAGGTGGTTTTCCCTGAACTTGGGCGTTTGGAGTTTGGGCCCTGGGGACTGAACACAGTGCCCTCTCATATCCTAAACTCTGAGTTGTGTCTAATCCCTACCCCTTCAGTTTTCTACCCGCCCAGGGCTATCTTGGGAGATGTCGGGAGCCCCAGTGTGGCAGCAGCTGAGATGAGGAGAGGTGCTGGCTGGAATTTTCTGGGTGGCCATGATCTGGAGCACTTTCTAGGTGTCCTCGTCGTCGTCCCCCATGCCCCCCCCCCCCCCCAAACAGCACAGCCCACAGCCCCCCTAGAGGTCTGAGTCTGGCTGGATGTCTGGGGCGTTTTGGAACCTCTTGTCCTCAACAGCTTCAAGCTCCAAGCACAAGGCGCCCTGAAATTTAGTGCCTAAACTGAGGCTGCGCTGCCACTTCTCTCCATATCCCACGTTTCCTCCAGCTGGCTTTAGCGATGACACAGTGTCTCTAGGCTGAAGCGTCACTAGCCCGGGAGGGCCCTTTATTCTTGGCCTGGGAGGCAGGCGTTTGCTGCAGATAGCTGTGTGGGGGTGGGGGTGGGGGGTCTGCTGGGCTGCGTTTCAGAGTGCGCCCCGAGATCATCTTTGCGCCAAGAGGGGGCCGAGCCCCAGGAAAGGGGGAAGAACTTGTAATCGCGTGCAGCAGGACAATGCCGACTTTTGAACCTCTAACCACTAAGCAAACAACCCTTGTGCTCTTGCTCCACTGTCCAAACAGGGTTTATTGACAGGCGTTTCACGGCAACGCATAGCAACCGCGCCGCCAGCGAAGGGCTGGCGTGTGGGCGCGGCCAAGCTCTTTGCTGGGGCAGGAGGCACCCAGGAGCAATGGGGATGGATCACCTGGCCCTGAACCTAGGGAGCACCCGCCCCACAGGCGCCCTCGCTGCTTCCCTCTGGGTGGCCAACTCCTATTCCCGCTGGACCCCCTTTCCCAATCTTTGAGCAAATCTGCCACCAGGAAGGGCGGAGAAATTGGGGAGGTGCTGCCAGGGGGCTGGGGGGCCACGTGTCTCGAAGCTACGCACACCCTGCCCTGTGTGCCTCCTCCCTGGGTCCTCGCCCTGCGTTAGGGCGAGGTTTAGTCCTAAACCGTGGCGTAAATCTTCCCTTCCCGGCCTTGCCCGGAGACCGTCAGATATGCAACCACCACTTCGATCTTATACTGATCTTGAATTCTTGTTTGGGGAGTGAGGATGGGAGGATAAGGTCATTCCGGATAGTTCTAAAGGAGTGTAGACAGAGAGGGCCCATGGAAATGTCTAGTGTTTCGGAAGACTACATATAGTCATGGAAATGTTGTCTGGAAAGAACAGAAAAATATTAATCAATGCTTGTGTCCACTTCTGGGGCTAAGGGGCATACCTGGGCGTGCGAGGGAGGGAGTTGTCCTATGTTTGCATTGAGAAGGGAGCTGAAGCCCGCTTACCCCACCCCCATGGTTCTGTAGCATAGCAGCTGGGAAGCAGCTAGTCTTTGTGATGAGCATTTTGCCCAAAGGCACCCCTAGGAAAACCACACATTCCACAGCCCAAAGCTGGACTGAGGCGTGGGGGCGGGGAAGGGTTCAGAACCTGCTCCTTCTCCCTTCTGAAGCTTTGGGGGAAAAGCAGGCTGGCCAGACGATCTTCTCTACCTTCTTCCTTCCCTCACCCCCTCACCCCCACAACTTCTAGCTTGCAATGAGAAGATATTTTATTTCCTGGAAAAAAAATAACTTCTGTCAAAATCCAAAGAAGATAAATGTCAGGGTCTGAAATCTGTAAAGTTGGTTTATCTTTTGTCTTTTTAGAAAATATAAGTCGACTGTGTTCGGATACCCCCACTTCCCTTCACCGTATCACCTCTCTACCCATGGCTTTTTAAAGGCTTGCTTAGCTCGTTACACAGATCAATGACTCCAACAGCAGCAACAACTCCGTTCTTCACCAGCCAGAGACTAGGGAAAGGACAGGAAGTCCAGGTTGGCTCTGGCATTTACAACACAGACATACATTCAGCCTACAGCAGCTCTGGTGACAGGCTTTCCAAACAAGCCCTTGTCGCAGGGGCCTGGAGTTCGCTAACCACCCCCTCCTCTGGCCACAGTCCCTGAACCCACCAACCCTTCCAGGTCTGTAAAGGGAGAAGAAAACACAGACCACCTGGGGGTTCTGCAGACTTTGATCAGCCCAGCCTTCCAAGCAGCTGCCTCTGGCTCCTGCAGTTTGAACTGTCCCTGCCCCTGAGGCAGGACTTCCAGCTGGTTCTCAGAACCAGCAGTCAGCAGGAAACAGCCATCTTGGCTCAAGTATTGCTCATTCCCCCAGCCTCACTCTCTCCTCAGCTCCAACCAGAAATACAGTCCATACGGGAGGCAAAGAGCTGGGGCAGAAGAGGCTGAAAGCTTAGTGCCTGTAGCCAGTCCTGGCAGGGAACATGAATGAAGCCCCAGCGATCACTTCCTTTGTCATCACTGGCAGGAAGAGTAAGAATGGAAAAAATAAAAAACTGGACCGTATCTTCCCCTGAGGCCCACAATCCCACTTGTCTTTACTTCTGTCCCCATTCTTCATCTGTAGGTATTGTTTGTGGGTGGCAGGAGAGGGGTCTCTTCTGAGGATTCTAGCAGCGCCCATGCTCCTCAGGCTGGAATTGCTCTGCCGCCGCTACAGACCATGGAAGGGGTCACTGAGTAACAGTGGGGTTTAAAACCCCTCCAGGTGGTCCCAGAACCCCAGGGACAGAACCAGGCACCGAGCCTTGCAGTGATGACACCGGACTCAAGGGCTCCGGCACGCTCCTCAGTGCCCCTGGCTGAGGCTGTGAGGGCTGTGGTGGAGGCGGTGCTGGCTGCTGCTGCTGCTGCTGCTGCTGCTGCTGCTGCAATTTCTTCTTGTTGATTTTCCTTTCCTTGGCTCTGCGGTTCTGAAACCAAATTTTAACCTAGAAATGACAAAATAGAAGGTAGGAGAGGATATGAAAAAGGAAACAGCACCACCGAGATGGTTCTCTCCGGTGACGATGCTTCCAGCTCTTCCAGAAGTTTCCAATTGCCATTCCCCCATTGAGCTTCAGCGCAATGCTGAAGTATTCATTCCCTGAAGAAAAGTGGCCGACTCACTCCTTGCTTCCCAAAAGAGCCCTTTGGAATCTCAGAAGCAAGGAACAGAAGCCCTATGCAGATGGGTGGCCCGCTCAGGTGTGCGTCACGGGGACTTCCTTTGGCCCTCGCAGTGCAGATGAACTACGTACTCTACATACCTATGATGTCCTTCACCTTGGTGCTGGCAGTGAGATTTCGCACAAAATTTCCTGGCTGTGAATTTGTCCCGTTTTGTTTTCTTTTCCCTAGACTGTAGAAGTGTTCTTAGGCCAAGTAGTAACTCCTTCGTTTTTTAAATAAAGTTTTTATTTTGAGTTATGTGTGTCAGCATATAACACAAAAAGAGCACCCACGGAAGCCAGAGGCACTGGCTGACCTCTGCAGCTGGAGTTACAGGCCGCTGTGAGCCACCTGACATGGGCACACTGGCAACAGAACTTAATCCTCTGAAAGATCACTATGTGCTCTTAACCGATGAGCCATCTCTCCAGGCCCTGACTCTGTAATATACATGAGTAGACTGTGCCTTTGTTTTCCCTATTTTTTTTTCTAGTGCTGGGTGTAAATCTTAATACAGTGCTTCTCAACCCTTTACAGTGCTACAGAACCCTTTAATATAGTTCCTCATGCTATGGTGACCCCCAACCATAAAATTAGTTTGTTGTTATTTCTTAACTGTAATTTTGCCACTGTTACAAATTGTAATATAAGTATCTCTGGGCCCAAGTGGAGTTCCATACTGCAGCAGCGTCTTGGCCTTTTTCTTGCAGTTCTCAGATCCCACAAAATAAAAAGCAATTCAGAAACATCAGGAAAGATAACGGGAAACTCAAGGGTTCTCAAAAAGCAACTGCTTGCTCTCTTCTTTTCACGGAGAAAACAGGGTGGACTCTTGGCCAAGCTTTTTTTGTTTTGTTTTGAGACAGGGTTTCTCTGTGGCTTTAGAGGCTGTCCTGGAACTAGTGAACTAGTTCTTGTAGACCAGGCTGGTCTCGAACTCACAGATCCACCTGCCTCTGCCTCCCAAGTGCTGTGACTAAAGGCATGAGCCACCACTGCCTGGCTTGTCCAAGCTTTCTAATGCTACACCCCCATGCAATAATAACCAGACACTGGGAAGGCGACACCCACCTGCCTCTCAGAGAGCCCCAGTGTGGCAGCTAGTTCAGCTTTCCTCCTGATGGTGATGTATCGACTATAGTGAAACTCCTTCTCCAGCTCCAGCCGCTGATGGTCTGTGTACACCACTCGGTATTTGTCTTTCGTCCTGGTTTTCACTGTGGAGGAAGGAGAAGCTTTGGCTAAGAACTATAATCCATCAGTCATAGGTAATGACAAACCTCCCTAACCCAGGAGCCATTTCTCTTCCTTCACTGATGGGGAAACAGGTTTGACTGTCTATTACCAAGGCTCACAATATCCACCACAGATCCCAGAGAAGTGAAAGAGTGTGAGCCTGGGGGCACAACTAAACTAAACGGAAACTTCTCACACAGCCCCCTCCTTCGCATAAACCAAATATAGTATATTTAGGACCAGAAGAAAGGGAAGTGGGGGGGAGTGGCCAGAGTCACCAGGTATATAATATCCAATTTCAGGCTTACTAGAAAAAACAGCCACCTTTAAGACACCTGGGGCTGTGGGGTCAGTGTATGGGGGTAGCTATCCTTTGTTTCAATACAGTGGAAAGATGGATGCAGGGACTGGCAGCTTCCTGAAAGCCACCCGAATCATATATTAGATACTCCTGTCCTGGAATTCTGACCTCCGCATCATCAGGAGGAAAACTCCTCCTGCTGAGAACACTTCATGCCTGTCCAACCAGGTTTGGCCCAGGGCACCTTTTCTTTTTTAATTCCCCATTTATTCCCTGGGACAACTATCCTGACCAGTGACCTATGATCATTGAATTGAGTCAACATATTAAATCTTGGATTGATTGTTTTACTGAAGGGCCTTGACAAATAGCGCTGGACTGCTGCATCAGGCTGGAGCCTGGCTATTCACCGGGTCTGTCCGGTTGCTTCTCCGACAGAACGCTGGCCAAGAACTGTTCCACGTCCCCAGTTGGAGAGGCCTCACAGCAGAACAGGTTTTAACGCCCAAAGCCTAATCGAACAAGGAGATCTAAGGGGTGGGAGTTGCCCAGAGGTGTTTAAGGCCCGGCAGGCTGACTTTGTTCAGGTAAAAACCTTTGCAAACCACAACAAAAGCGCCCTGGGAGGATACAGGCGGGATCAGAGAGAATTCTCCAGCCTCTGAAAGGGGAACACAGCCGCAAACAATGCAGGACAAGGCGATCTTATCAAAGAAAACCCTTTTCAATGCCTTAATAACAACCGCGTTCTGTTTGAATTACCACTACTGAGCAAATGGCGGTCTCAGCTTTCATCCCCTTCCCCGCCAGGCGCATTAACATAAACATAGCCCCGCAGGCGCATTTGAATAGGAGCTGCGGCCCCGACCCCGCGCCTGCTTTCGAAGAAAAGGGATCCAACACCCCACTCGCGAGTGCCCCACTCCAGAGGACGACAGAGCCCGAATAGCACAGCACTTGGAGTCCTAAAGGAAACTATCAGAGCTAGGAAGTGAGGCGCAGGACAGATCCCCACAGCGGTCCTCGCCTTAGGATAGATGCTGCCTTTTCAGCATCACGCAGGCTGAGAAAGACTCCGCGCGCGCTCTGAGGTCCGCTCCCACAAGGGCCTTGGAGGTGGCCCCGCACCCCCTGGGAACCAAGGAGGGGGGCTGGAAGAGGGGAGGAATGAGAAGGAGTTGTCAGAATTCATTATTGACTGCGAAAGTCACCACCCTCTTTCCGGGCCCTAAAAGAGACAATGGCCCGGCAGAAAAGGTGTACATCAAAGCCGGCCGGGCGGCGTACACGCCTCTGCCTTGACAGATGACGCTCTGCAGAGGAGTCGGGCTCGGGCGCTGCGGGCCACAGCCTCCCCACATTAACATCACAAGGGCGCCCGGCGCCGACAGCGGCCTTGCCACCTCGGCGCGGGACTTCACAGCGGCTTCTCATCTGCTGACCCCTCGGCCTGGGCTCCTGAGGTTATCCTCCCCCTCCCAGGACCCCAGTCTCGGACCACCCACTCCCTGCACGCTAAAGGTCTTTCGTAGGTCTAAGACCCCTGCCTGCGAGCCCCCCCCCTCCCGCGCACTGTCCTTCAGGCAGGCTTGTGGAAGGGAGGTTTGGGGGGGCCATGTAGCTCAGGTCTAGGAGTAAGTCCTCTTGGAAATGACCAAGCCAAAACCCACTGGAGGCTAATCTCCAGTTATCATTTTGCCTTCTCTCCGACAACATTGTCCGCCAGGGCGCTCATGGGGTGTAGGCAGTGACGCAAAAGAGTCCAGAGACAGGCCCCCAAGTGCCGCTCTGATTTATACTGCTGTAATTGGCTATAAACCTCCTCAAAGTGGCCATAACTTGCATGTGGCCTGTCTGTACTGACAAGAAGCAAACCGAGAGAAGCGGAAGCTCAAATAGCTGGAGGTTTCACGGAACAAAAAGGGGACTCCAATCCCACTCCCCTGTCACACTTTTCTCAATTCCTTCCCACCCCTATACACATCGGGAACATCAGAAAGGACAAAGCCAGCGGCAGTGAGTCCCGAAGTCCGGGAAATCTAGGGTCTTTAGTGAAATTATCTCCCGAGTCTGGAACACAAAACACGCGCAGACACTCGAGATCCTTGAAGGGAAGGTTCGAGAAAAATGGCCCGATCTGAAGAAGCTGAGTCCGCTCAGGCCTTCCTCTCCCTGCTCCTTGTTCTCTGTCATGATCAGAGAAGACTTCCGTGGGAGACTTTGCTTAGCAGATGAAGGGTCAGGGATCCTGGAGCACCCCCTTCCCCTTAGGCTCCTGAGGCCAGCGCCTTCTCTCCAGCGGCGCACAGCAGCGTCTGTTCTCTGCTTGAAGCAGCGCTGACCCCTTGAATTGGCCCTTATGGCCAAACCGGTCCTGGCGCAGCCTCCACACTTCCCTCTTTCGCGGGTACCTCAGATGGAGGAAGGAGATTGGGTAGCTAAGTGTTGTAGGCACGGTAAGGGGGATCCAAGGTCCCCTCTTCTCGTTGTGAGCTGCGTAAGGAATGCCGGCGGCAGCGAACTCGAGGACGTGATTCTGCTCCCGGCGGACAGTGCTTACGACATTGCCGGGGGCTTCCGAAGGTATCCCGAGGTTGCCAACGAGGAACTGTTAGGAAGAGGAAACCATTCCTCTGCCCTTAAACAAACCCTAGTGTGCATGGCACAAAATATACACTTCTGGGACCGCAGTCAGTAAAAGACCCCCCCAGGGGTCCATCCTTGTGTTTTTCCCCTTGCCCCTCCTCCTCTACTGGCAAGAAGCTCGCAGACAGCCCGCGACAGTCCGGGTGCGCGCGGGA